CCCCAAAACCCCAAAACCCCAAAACCCCAAAACCCCTCATGTCAAAATTTTAAAATAGTTAAGACATGTATTTATAAAATCAAAGAAATACACTCATATTGTTTATAATTGTAAAAATCATTGGCTTTTTACGTTTGTTCATTGTACTGGAAGTTGGCCTTTCAAAACTTCGCATTGCTTTAACATCATTATACTTGTGAGTTATCTGATATCCTCTAGTATTCATTAGATTGCTGTTTTAGCCCTAGAAGTTAGTAGCAGAACCTCTCTATCTCTATTAACTTTTGAATCTCTTAGCCTTGTTATTGAAGCTGAAGTTTAAGCTTTAAATATTGCTATTCCCAATTATTATTGAACCTTTATTCAGGGTAGAAGTATTTCTATTCCTATTCTCAGTCTTGAATATTGACTCTTCAAAAAGTAACTTCCTCTGAGGGTCTCGATGCAAGAAACTTTAATTTTGCTTCTCAAAACTATTGCAACCAATCTAGAATTCCTAAGAATCTCTAATTACATCTCCTAGATTGTCAGTTTCTGGAGCTAATTTTTCAATTATTGAGGATGCTCTTTAATCCCCAGGAAAGTATATACTGATATTTGATAATGAGTGATTCGAGTTGTACTTGCCACTCTTATGTAGCGAACTTGTAAGTCTTTTTTATCTGCCTTGACTTGAATGACGCATTATGGAATCATTCTGTAATATAGAAGAATTATTCTACCTGTTTGTTACCAAGTTTTGATCAGTTGAGTAATTCAAGTCTAATAAAGTGGCTGTAGGATTTGAGGGTTCTTAGTGGTCAAAGATGCTTTACTCCAAACTAAGTCTCTAAAGATTATCAGCCCAGTTCTGTTTCTTTTGGTAATCGATGTTACCGATATTGAAGTCATTTTAATTTGATACTATTGACTGCTGATTTGTATTGGTATGGGTATTCATCGATGAATTATTTTTGCTTTGCTTAGTCAATGCTTATGTTGTCCTTTGTGATAGATTCTTGCTTACTCTTAGCTTTGATGTCTTGAGTAGGTTAGAGTTTTACCTCATTAATGACTAATTCTGCTTTACAAGTCTATCACCCACATAATAATAACTACCATCCAGCAATGCATCTTTATCCACTGCAGATAATTTCGACTATCAGAAATTTAAGAATGCCCTCAATGAGCAATTAAAATACCAATTTAACTTGACAGGGAGCGTTTCCAAATTCAAAAGAAGACCTAGGGTTATATTATCCAGGGCCTAGCTTATCACCTGCAGTTGGCTATAAAAGATTTAATTAGACTATTAGTTACTTATATGAAAGAAAGTCTATTTGAGCTTTAAGGTCTCTCATTCACCAAAGAATTGTTTGCATATTTCTTTCTATAGAGTCTATGTTTGTTGTTGTGGTAAGTGACACTTTGCTAATCAAGCATTGTCATGTCAAATGATGTTCTCTATCCGAATCAATCTATATTAGTGAGGAGATAGCCAGGAGTATCAGCTTCAGGGGGTTTGAATTAGAGATAAGTGGGTCTCATTTAATTTAAATTATTAATCAACTAATTAACTGATTATTAATACTATCATGATGTCAAAAAATTATTTGAAAAATATAATAATTTTGATCTTTCATAAATTCAATTCCTGAACAATAATTCTAACATTTTAATTAAACTGAAATTCCCTGCAACATGCTAAATATAAAAAGCTACAGATTAGGAATATGTGCCCTAAGGCAATATATTATTTTAGATCATCTGTGTTTTGAATAAGTAGAGAGTATGATGGGTACTTTAATTCATACTCTGTGTCTTTATCAGAACTTGCAAATGTGATATACAATCACAAATACATTACTCTTAGAGAAATGTATCACCTCGACCCTCTAACTTTAGAGCTGAAGTTTCTTTATTTCTCTTTAATTCAATATAACTAATAATTCAACCTTTATTCGAACGAACGAGCTACTAAAAAATAAAAATAACTTTTTCCATTTGTGTTTTTTATTATATTATAAGTTTTTAATATCTGATACTAATATTCAGTTCTGGGGTTTTGGGGTTTTGGGGTTTTGGGG